GGATCTCGCAAAACAAACTCGGGATCTCGCAAAACTTTTGCGAGATCTCGCAAAACAAACTCGCGATCTCGCAAAACTTTTGCGAGATCTCGCAAAACAAACTCGGGATCTCGCAAAACTTTTAGCCGCATTCTTCCCATTAGCTCGACCTCCCGTTAGCTTTGAGCTAATGGGAGGTCGAGACCTACTACAGCCGAGAGGAACACCGCTTTCTCGGCACATCGTGCCTCGACCTCCCGGTCGGCTTCGAGCTAGCATCCGAAGAATGCGGCTAAAACGTTTGCAAAACAAACTCGGGATCTCGCAAAACTTTTGCGAGATCCCGAGTTTGTTTTGCGAGATCTCGCAAAAGTCCGTCTTAATTTTTTTTTCTCCCATGTCCCCTGCGGGGCTCCGTAATTTATTTATTTTTTATTACTAAAAATTCTCTAATCCTGAACCTATAGGAAAAAAAGGTAATGTTTCTAGAAGCAACACCGGTTTATTCAAAAAGAGCCAAGTTGCACACGAGGAATTCAAAACCCTTCACAGAAAATCTCAGTATAATAAAAATAAATGAAATTGTGATGCTGCCTGATAGAAAAGGGATCTGTGGGAAGACACCGGAGTGATTGCAGTTTCTAAATTCCTCTCTGTCTTTCTTCCCTTGTGTTACTTATCTCCTTTCTCTTCTGTCATACCAAACAACTCGCGCTTAATATTTAGCATTTTCAGTGCATTTTAGTTCTCGGCTCGCCAAAGTTGAGTGAGTGCTTTAAAAAGTTTTTCTACCTCGCCAGTTTCTATGACGATGTGAAGTAAATGACAGAAAGAAACAAAGGTCTGTTCGTCTTTGCTAACCGGCCTCCTTCCAGCGCAATCACTCGACGAACCCTCTGGATGGAAATTGAAAATCAACATGACTTAAAATACATCTGCTGCCCTTCGAAAGCAGCTGCTTGTAACACTTTCTTCAAACATTGATTTACAAGTCGGTGCAAAAGCTTCCGGTCACAGCTCAGTCATATTAGAAATATTGATGACCACATAACTGACTGACTGGATGCTGTCAAATTTGTCAACTTCTGTCATGTAATACAGAAAATATATTAAGAGGAAAACTGGATCAAAGAATTCCTGAATGTGGTCTCGGCTCAGGGCTTCAGGCTGTGATGTCCTCGGAGGAGCGATTTCTCCTTTTAACCCCAGAAACTGAGTCTGTTGGACGGGAGAAGTTCATTCTCTATAAAACAGGCACAAAGCTTCAAGTTATCTGTAAAACTAACTAGAGATGGACCGATCCGATATTACGTATCGGTATCGGTCCGATACTGACCTAAATTACTGGATCGGATATCGGAGAGAAATAAAAAATGTAATCCGATCCATTAAATATCAAAAAAGCACCTCACAAAACTTGCGACACGGCGTAACTC